TTCCGTGACCTCTGGCAGACACACCAGGGAACCTTGGAGCACATCACATCCAGGGCAACTCACACACTCAGTGGATGGATGCACCTGGGGCACAGCAATTATTTTATGGCCATTGATTACGTGAAGAAGCAAAAAGAGGGATCAAAGCATCCGCCCTAAGATATATTTCCTGTTCAGAAGCTTCTCAAGAATTCCTGCAAAACCAGAGGTGGAACTCTAAGCAGAGAGGGTTTAATTTGCAGTGGAGCACAGGGAGTGGCACAGGCTGTGATGCTCAGAGTGAGATGTTTACCTGCTTTTGAAACGTTTTTTTTAAAATGTTTATACAATTGTTTAGCCTGTTGGTACTTCAGGCATTGCCTGTCCTCGTCACACACGTCACTCCCATCTGTGGAGTTCCTGTGCCATGGCAGCACTCCCAGCACTGGGAGCTTTGGGCACACCTGGGGGGCAGAGGAATGGTCTGGGGATGAGAAGGAGGAGGGCAAAGCGTGGGTGAAAGGGTCCTGTGCCCCAAATGCCACCCTCCTGAGGTGCCACCCTCCTGAGGGGCTCTGCCTGTGTCACTCCATTTGGAGCTTCTGTCCCCGCAGGGCTCAGCTGGCACAGGAGGGCTGTTTTCAGTCCCTGTAGCCCCCATTCCTGCTGAAGGGACTGCAATCCTGCAGGCAGCCCAGCCCTGGAGCTCGGGGGTTTGGGCAGGGTAGAGGCACAGGGAAAGGTCTGTCCCAGGGTGAGACACCCCCGTGGGTYGGCAGAGATTGGGGAGGGAGGGAGGGCAGGAGCCAGCAAGAGCAGGCAGAGCAGCACCAACCACCTTCTGTCTCCTAAAATAATCCTTTTCTTTTAAAGGTGAAAAATGCCGAAGTTTTATTGACCTTGCCCCGGCTTCTGAAAAAGGTAAGGGCATCCAGCCAAGGTTTCTTGCCATTCTCCATCACACCAGGGCTGTGTGTGGTACTGGGTGCCAGGGGAAGCACAGCTCCCTCAGCACACAGGGCCCTCCGTGTCACCCTGTCACACACAGCCAGCTGGCACAAAAAAACAGGCTTTATGGCAGCTGTTTGCTCACTTTATCCAGGTCTCCCATTTATTTGATCTTAACTCAGATGGGTATTTTCAGGAATAATAAAGATTTATATTGTAAGACAGACATTTCCCTTCTTTCTCTAGCAAGGAGGGAAATGCTACGTGATCTGCTCAGGCCATGAACACATTTATGGTCAGAAAAATGCAGTCACAGTACCAAATGTCTCTTTGAGAGGGGGAATCATCCAGATGCTCCTTTGGGAGGTTTACCCCTGTAAAATTATATATGCAAGTGCACTTAAAACATTTACAAGGGTTAAAGTTATATGAATGAAGCGGGCTGCAAACATTTTCCTCACCATGGTATTGGAGTTCAGTTAATTAATTAATTGATTAATTAATTAGATTTGTTTCATTCTCAGAAACCATCTAGCCCACATTTTAAAGTCTGTATAGATTTCACAAATTAACATATCTATCTAGAATTCCCCAATAAGAAACTTAACGAATGAAGTAAGTTAGTAAATGAGCTAAGCTGGAATATCAGGCTACAAGAACTACAAGCGTGCAGGCTAAGGGTGCAGGGGATACATAAAGGGTACAGAAATGTATAAAAGGGCATGTAAAATATATTAAAAGGTATATAAAAAGGAAAGACAAAATATCATTGGGCATCACCACCAGCTCAACGCTCAGCAGCCACTGGGGGTAGAAAGCATCACCAAGGACAGTGGAGAGGTTTGTCCTTTTTAGTGAGGATGGCAAAGTTCTGGAGAGTTCTGCACAAGGATGAGAGCAGGACTGCAGCCTGAAGGAGAGGYACAGGAGAGGAGAGGAGAGATAATGGCCAGGGATCAGGGCATCAGAGGAGCTGGAGAGGCAGCCTGRGGAGGAGAGTTCCCTGCTTTTCCCATTGTTACCTAAAAATCAGGCACACCTGAAACAGAGGCTGGACAAGGTTAAGAGAATGAGAACAGACAACTTTAATCCAGGCCTAACAGCCCCCGGTACATTGGGGCAGACAAATCCTCCTCCTGAGGCTGCACCCAGAATGGACCCCGAGTCACGAGATCTTCCCCTTTTATCAGTTCTGTCTCATGAACACATCGGGCCCCAATTCCCCAATGACACCTTCAGGTGATGATGGTACCCACCCCAGGTTTGCTCCCCCCAATTCTCTGTTGTTTCCATATTTTGGGGCTCTGAGGCAGCGAAGTGTCCTTGGATTCAGGCTCAGAGAGGAATTGTTTTGTCTAAAGATGGGAGAACAGCAGCTTTAGCGCTGTACTAGAGGAGTACAAGAATACAGATGCATGAAAATATAGAAACTAAAAATCCTAAGGCATCGCCATCCCAAGGATTTCGGGCACAGTGGGCACCTCCAGCAGGTGGACCATAAAGCCTTTACCCCCGTGAAGGCAGCAGGGTGGTGTCTGCTCTCTCCACTTTCTGTGGAACTTCATCGTGGTGCATAATGCTTGGTGGCATCACCCACACACTTTCCAAAACAGCATTYAGTGCTTTACTTTTAGGATTTCTTTCGGTTGTGTGAAATGCTGTCAGCATTTTTTTTTCCATGAGAATTTTAGAATTTCTGCATGATGTCAGCGCGTATTTCTAGACGATTCTATTTTTCTTTTTTGAGGAAGGAAGGCTCTTTCTTTGTAGTGTGATGAAGAAAATTCTATSTATTTCAGAAGTCTTTCCATGGAGTTGTGAGGCATGTTGACAGAAAGAGAGGGGAATGCTTTGTCAGGGATGGAAAGTGTTGACCATCAGCCTCAAACAAATCCAGGATAAATTCCACAATTGTAGATCAAGTTGGGCACTGCAACACAGTTAATCTGGAATTTTCACCATCAGTCAATATTTCCACCACATGAAAGGAAAAATTGATGCCCAATTTCCTTTCAGTGAAGAATTCTTTAATTTCTTGACTTAATCTTCTCTTTTCCAGTTGGGGAAAACTTCCCATTTCTTTAATTTCTTCATCCCCACACTCAGCAGTGATTTTAATGGTGAGAGGTTTATCAACTGCCCAGCCCCACTCAGTCCTAGGACAGACTCTTGATTCTTTTTCCAGATAAATGAGAAAGGATGAAATACAGTGAACAGCAAATTTGAGTTCAGTTCAAACACTGTRGTTTTCACGAGCAATTGTGTAACTGGGAAATCCTGGATTACACTTCCCTTCACAATGAGACTGAAATTTATTCCATTTCTGTACATTCTTAGCATCACTTAGCACCAAGAACTGGTTGTTTATCTGGAATGCCTCTGTAATTTTGTTTATCTGAAATGTCTCTGCAATACAASCTCCATTACTGGAGCTGAGGGCTCAGGCTTCCCAAAGTTTTCCTTTTTAGTTGATTTCCCCTAATCCAAAAGAGGAATCCCTGTCTGACYAACTTCTAAGCCAAATACAGACTTTTGAAGCCTGTGCCTGCTTTTGAGCACATCATCTTTTAAGACAGGCTAAAAGGAGGCCTRAAAGCAAACTTAGAGCAGTTGTTCAGCCCATCTCTGCTTGACTCCATCACCAATTAACAGCAAGGTGGTATTAAACTCTTCCAGAGTATTCAAAATCTTCTGAATATAGAAAAAAACTGCCACAAAAAGCTCACAGTAAACAAAAGCATCTCTGCTGAGGTCTAGTCACATCCCTACCACAAGCCTTGCATTCATAAATGCATTCATAAATGAAAATTCTTCCAGTAAAAATCTAATAGTTTCTGGCTGAGCCTCCCATCTTTATGCATCGGTGCTGCTCTCCAGTGTAGCTGGGAGCTGTATCTCTGATCAGTCATTATACCCTTTTCAGATATCTCACCAATGACATCTCCTAAAAGGAGGCAGCAAAATTTGGGGCAAACAGACCCACAGTATGGTATAAATAAGCATTTCCAACCCACACTAGGAGAGCTTTTTCCTGCATTTAAGGCAGCTGCCAGCAATCTGTCAGAACCTCATAAGCCTAACATTGAATTTATTAGCTGTTGCTGGTTCTTAGTGCCAAATCTGCTTAACAAAATCAGCTTCATGATGGGAGATATTAACTAGGAAAAARAAATACATTTTCTTGTGACAGTTTACATTTTTTATTGATAAAAATGATAGAGCAATAGCTGGGTACAGTGGCCAGGACTTGCAATGGGCTCTCACCGAGCAGATGTCGGGGCCCACGGAGTGTGCTGTAATTATCATTACAGACAGGAGCAGTAAGACAGCAAATATTTCCAAAAGGGAAAGGGAAGGGAACTGTCAGAGTAGGCTGGACCTGATATTTCAGTTCTCAGCTGCCTCTGGGTTCTTCTGCACAGAACTTAATCGAAGTTTTGTGCCTGTTGAGTATTTTGCTGCCTGAGGAAGAAGAGGGTGCCCTGTTCAGTGAGGGGCATTTGTGTCCCTGTTGTGGTGTCCCACCACAACACCAAGGCTGGGACAGTCCCCACCACCACATTCCTCCTCCCAGGGCACCTCCCAGCTCCTCCTTCCCATGGCTTCAAACCTGTGCCCAARACAGCTTCCAGGAGGCCAAGGAGGATGCATCCAAAAGGAAGAAACCAAGGCCAAAAATTGAGTCTGGAAACCATGGCAGCACAATGGAAAGCAAAATGTTCCATCAAATGATCTGATAAGTGGCTTCAGAGAGTCAGTAAAGTCACAGCTGGACGCATCCAGGGGTGCTCCTCCCCTTGCCTGGGACTGTGTGGGGATCCCAAACTCCTGCATCCTTCTCCAAACACATCCCTGCCAGCTGCCAGAGATGGGGAGAGCTGAGGGTGAGCCTGGCCAACTCCTTGGGCAGGAGAAATCAGCTGGAAGCAGCACTCATGCTTGCAGGAAATGTGGTGCCCCCAGCAGTTTTGGGATGGTGACTCCCCCAGCACCTGGAGTGCCTGAGCAGCCCCGTGGGGAATTTGCTCCAGAAAAAGGCTCAAAGGTCAGTGCTGGCTCCAAATGCAGAGATGGGCACAAATCCTTTAGGATTCACTGCAAGCCCCCCACAGGCACAGTACAGCCAGACCAGGTCACTCTAATGCCCTGGAGGAGCTCACTTTGGGGAATGATTCCCATGAGGAACGGCAAGGCAACCAGACATCAGCAGCTGTTTGTGTTGCACTGCTTCCTACCTATTGATAAACTCACATGAATAAAATAAACAAAATTTTTCAAAGGTTGAGGCAAGGCAAAACCCTACAGAAGGAAAATGTTCATGGTTAGTGGACACTGAGAGGCTGTCCTGGCAGAGGTAGGAGATGCCTCCTGCACATCCCCTACACAGCTCGTGATGCTGCATCCTGGAGAGATGAAGCAATAAAAATTCTGTATTGCCTCAAAAGTGGCTGGCAGAGCTRAAGCAGCACATGGCAAACAGCAAGTAAACAAATCAAATCTCACCTAAACACAGCCCAGAAAAAAGAGAAAACTAAGCCAGCTCTGTACATGCTCCTAAAGCAGCACTCCAACAGCAATTAATGAGAAGAGAAAAACCAAATGCCTGATTTTAATGGATTCTGACATAATAGGTGTACCAGAAATTTGATGGGGGAAAGATAATTAGAGGGACAATAACGTCTTGATGCTGATTACACTGAAAGACAAAGCAGATGTCATGTACTAAAGCTGAATCAGAATAACAAGGTAATGKCATTAAAGAGCAACACAATCTCTGTGGATGGATTCCATACTCAGATAAAAAATGCAGAATTGTGTCAGTGATCACCCCTGAGACAGCTTCAGAGAAAGCAGGGTTAAACATGATCGCAGAGAAGGTGTGAGGATAGGAAACAAAACTGCAGGAGCTGAGTCTGAAACCCTGAGGACAGACCCAAAACATTGTGTGTGATGCAGAGACAAAATCTGGATGT